ATTCTTCAACTAAAAAAATAATTTCATACATATAACACATGTACATATTTGATTTTTGTTCATGAATATATTATCATATTTGTAATATCACTTTTCAACAAATGCATTAATCATCAAATATAAGCGCATAATTTATTATAGATTTTCTACTTGAAGGTAGATGAAATAAACCTAAATGAAAAAAACTGAATGATTATGAATAAAAATTAATGGAAAATGGAAATAATGATAAATGATATGACAGACAAAATTAGATTATAATGTGAAAAAAATTGAACAAGTTATATAATATGTTTGAATAATTGATAACGTAACTTTTTAATTGCAATCAAGAAAATACATGGAAAAAAGTATCAAAACAGTCTAAAATAATTACTACTTCAATCAAGAGTTTGAATATGTTATAAGCAAAGTTTAGTACATGCAATTTCAAGAAACTTTTCGAGCTTTGAGATTTGATGAATTTCATGTATGTTATTGTCATGTGCTAATCCATGTGATAAAAGACAATATCATAAAATTTTGGAAAAAATGTATATTATTCCTCATAAACAATATTACAAATTATGCAAGTTTTGGATCTTGTCATAATAATTCAATTTGACAATACTCTATCGATATGTGTAAAAATGGATCAGATCAAATGCAAAGTCAACGTGAAAGTATGACTTTTAAATATGTTTGTATACTCTTTATATTGAAATTAAGTTTATTAGGAACGGTATTGTCCTTTAGAATATATAATTACAATTTTTTTACTTAAAATTTAAAATTAACACAATTTAATAAAGCTCTAAAAAATCAAGGTTCAAGTTGTATGTGCTGGGTAGAGTAGATTTAGTAGATGAGATTTTTTTCCATGAAATATTGTTTTAGTATATTCATGATGTGTTAGTAGTAATTCAAATCTCAAACTAAATTCAAGTTAACTTAACTCATGTTAATGTTAGGATAAGTTATCCTCGTGAAAATTTATCTTAGAGTTTCAGCTTATAGTTATATGCGAGCTGAGACACATCTTGTCATGAACAATTGTAGGTTTTCACTAAAGACTTTGTTGTTTCCTTGGACGTAGCCTAAGAATGGCAAACCATGGATTTTTTTTGACGTCGGTTTTTTTGTGTGTAGATATGTCAATTTTCATGTTTAATCTAACACAAATGAGTCTTAATATCAAGAGTAGATAAATCCAACATCTGTAATATTATTGATAAAAAAATAATGAAAAATTATGTTGTATGTGTGAATTTATTTCTGTATGATTACAATTTGGAAAAAATTATTTGTTTGATGTTAACTGTTGAAACAAGATAAATTTTTTGTCAAATGTGACAATTATCTCCTTTCGAGTGATATTTACTTAGGTAATAAAACTTTAGAAAATACATGTTGATACATTATGTCTATTTTGACATCTTTGCTACCACATTATTTTATTGTCTATATTTAAGTATGATACGTATTTATTTGAAACCAACAAAAACTTGCATGCTATAATCTTGTCTCAAATGGTCCAATTTTTTCAAATTTTTTTTCCTCTAATATATAATGAGTGCATTGGATATTTTTAATTAATGCATTTATTATATATATTATTGGTTACCAAGATCTTTATATCTTAGATATAAAAGTATTACTTTGATAAACTGCAAGCTTGAATCATAAATTTATATGAATTTCATTATCATGGTAGAGATGCATATTGAGTTTTATTTCAACAAATTACTCTATGGATCAAGATTTTTAGCAAGTATAGTTTTTGCTTTACTGATTTTGTACATCCTCACTTACTTGCATAAAATTGTAGAGAATCTATCATTTTCATTCATCTAAGAAATCAACTTCTTCAACTATCCATATTATTCTACTTTGAAATATAAACATTTCATCATATTATCTAACTTATCATATTTTCTTTATACATTGATGTGTAACTTATACTATCAAAAATTAAAATTAATTATAATAAAAATATTTATTCTTTTTTCAAACAATGTCAAAAAATTACTCGCATTTGTATAAGAGAAATTTCAAATGCATTTTCAGTTCAATATATTCACTTCAAAATTTACAACATTTATTAGAGTAATGCAACAGTTAGAGAACGCTTTTTAAGACTACTGCCAAATATTACACATGTATATGTAAACATGCAAGCAAAAACAAGATAAAAAATCTTGAGAAAAATTATAATCTCCGTATAGAATCCATGATAGTTATATGTAGTGATGTAATCTTAAATACCTTGCAAATATGATTTACTATTTCATGATGCATTGGAAAAACTCAAAGTCTTGCTTGTTCATGCTCATCATAAATAAAAGTAAATTTACATCTAAAACAAGTTTGCAATTATCGTTGGATGCATTAGAAACTTATTTAAAAAAATGCGTAGCTATAATCTATAGTCTCTGAGAATCCTACTACCCATAAAGCAATTAGAAATTGGATATACACATTGGAAGAAAAGTGAAAACTGTCATCGCGTAACAGATGAAGAAGGCTTGCGATAAAATGTTGCCGCCTTGTCGTCGGATGAAAAGCCTGTGTTCGTTGTTGACAGGTTCGAAATATCACTTACCACTGTTCTGATTGTCTCCAAGATAAGCATAGAAAGCATAGCGGAGTCCGTAATGGCAACCTCTGCGCACAATATGTGACATGGAACGAATACCATGGGTTGACATGGTCGAGAAGCCCTCACAATTTGCCAGAGAAGCTATAGCTTAGTTTGTAATGATCATCATGTTCCTGGTAGGAGAATGTGTTAACGAGTGTGATTAGTATTGTCTGAAGAGCCTGAAGAGTACTAAGCGTAAATGTAGCTGCTGCCGACCGAGGTAGGGCTAAGGGTAATGTGGACTGTGTAATAGTGGAGGTATCCCCATGTCACGTTAAAAAATTTGACCTGAAACAGACAACACCAGAAGTGGCAAGAATATTTCTGGTATCAGTAGTATCGAGGATATAATGCACCTATCTGGACTTTGGGCTTCGAATCTCGGTATCCATATCAGACCGCCTATCTTACCCACTCGTGTATGACGCGGATGGTAGTGCAAGTATGGAATCGTGTAAAAATCTTCCAATTCTTGAGACGACGAATTCAGACTGTAATGCATCGATTTAGATGGCCAGTACGAGCGCAGCAATTTTTAATTCCATTTAGTGGATGGTACCGGGATTGATAGAAGGGAGTGTGTCGAGCAAGAGGCCTACTCCAAAACAGCACTCGTATACATTTGTGCGAGAATTACTATGGCTACAAGACCACCGTCGGAGACAATACTGGATGACTGGAAGAGCTACAGGAGCTGACACACGAGTGGATGTCACTAGCCAAAACGTCGAGTCCTCAGGAATTCGACATTCTCAGCCTCAAGATTATCAGCTCGAAATTCAGCATAAGTTGCGAGCAGAATTTAGCGACTTCAAAACTAGGGTTGTAGATGAGCTTCGGAGCGTCCAGCGTGAGGTAAGGCTGCAACTGGAAACATGACCGACATTTCCGTAAATTCAAGAGAAAACTAAAAGCGGCATTCGGATGACTTCATCAAAGCAAGACTCTCGATAAAAGTCGTCGCATCTGCATTGAATCCTGTGTAGTCATGGAGCTTGGTAGGAGTCATCCCTGGATCCACGGTGTATACAACCCACTTTGCATTCAAATGTAGAGCTGCTGGTTGTGATAAGAGACTTCATCGTTGATTTTTGTATTGTTAAAAAATTTGTAGACCTTCATCATCGGAGGAACACCTGTACCTGTGCCTATACTAAATTCTTCGACATCCACAAATCATGCAGAAAATACTGGAGGACCGAGACACTGTTAAACGGAGAAGAAGACCGGTAGAAGAAGGGTACCTTGATAGACTACCTTACTCTCGGGCTACAGTCGAAGAGATTTGCAGACTGCATCCGGTTGGTTCCTTCCCCTTCCATAAGTCGATCAAAGACACCATAGTAACTGGTTACGACCTTTGAAGGACACAAGGGTGATTATTAACAAGTGTAAATAGAACCCCTGAGTTGTAGACAGAATCCAACAAAGTTCGAACCTACCAGGTTTTTGAATGAACCAATCGACCTCAAAGAAACCACTTACAAGCTCCTCCCCAGAAGTTCCAGTCGGAGGGACCTGTCCTGCTGCGAATCTTGGAATGCTTTTAGTGTTGCTGAATCTGGCCCATATTATACGGACTTGCAATATGAAATTCGAGGACGTCGATGTGCAAGAAAGGATCGGGGCGAGGTTTTTGGAAACTAAACCCTCTGACCCTGCACGTGACTCCTAGCTTAGTCCATGAAGGTGTAACTGCAGTTAAAATCATCTATTTGCAAGCTCCGAAGGACCGGCAGTGTAAAGTCAATCTGCAAAGTATTATGGCGCCTAAACAGTTCATCACTCCTGGCCGAGTTGAACTTCATAAGTATTCGTATTGTTCTCTGAAAGTGACTCAGCAACGTGACAGTGAAGCAATTGACCGATTTGTTAGTGGTTTGCACTTTTATGTTGTTTATATGTAAGTGTGTATCAGTTGTTTTGAAATTTTTCTTCTTTTGGTTGTTTGATTATTGTATTTGTATTACCACACATTTTCTTTTTTAAAGACAGTTAATAGTGATAATTCAGTTTGTAAAGTGAGGAGTGTTCTTCCTATTCACTTTCATATGTGTGTACGATCAGGTTTGATGTTATACGATGTAGATTTCGTTCATTTTTTGACATCAGATTTAATAAGATAATTTCGTGAGGGTTTTTCCTCCCATGTTAGAGTAACTTTTCGTATTGATATTAATCAAAGTTCTCTCCGGTATGACTGGTGGTCTGAAATCAAACCTCTTGTCAAATGAGTAAGATTATCGACATGAACTTTTTACGTCCACTAATCGCTAGAGCTTACACTACCCATCTATCACCATCTTCTCTTGGGCATTACCTCCAGAATGATAGAGTAGTGCACATACACGATTAACACAAAACACTCACTATTTTCAGTACAATAATCCGCGCGGTAATTGCTCAAAATTCAGTTACAGTGTTTCATGTACATCAGGAGCGACATGTATGATATGCCACACCTCCTCTGCCCCAGCTGATTCTACCAGGAAAGTTGCAATTTCGAAAGAGTTTTTACACATACACCCGCACATCATGTGCAGCAAATTATCTAAGATTTTAGTACACGACCTGGGGTTCAAAATCTACAAAGTCCAAGGAGCCAGACTCTACTGGCTTCATCAAGAACATAGCCAGGACCTCGGCCGCAAACTGAGCGATGATAGGGATTTTCTGCAAATTCTTAAGGGCGCCAGGGGCGTCGCTCTCTCCGATTTTGATCAAAGCCTGGTTGTATTCAACCATGCGGTCGAGCTTCCTCTGGAACTCGGGACTCTCGACGTCCGGTACAGCAGGGAAGATACGGGCGGTAGTGCGGTTGGTCTGGAAGAATATGTCAATTTGGTCAAATACCGACTTGCATTGAGAATGAATGCAATGACGCTGAGCTAGTGAACAACCGATGGAGAAGTCTGAAGTTCTCAAGAGAGCATACCTCAATGATGACGTGCATATCAAACTTCTTCGTGTCCAATCCGATGCCCTGGTAGAAGTCGTTCCTCTGGGTATCGTTCAAGTACATGGTGATGTACACCTGCAAACGACAGACAAAGGTGTGAGTAATCTGGATTAGTCGGTAATTTCTACCCTTAATTCTCGTTAATTTGGAAAGTGATTACAGAAAGAGCTATTCTCACCGAGAGGCAGAAGAAGCGTGACCACAACTTGGCCTTCCAGTCGTTCAGAAACTGGGGCTGGGCCTTCATCAATGCAGAGAAGAAATCACCGTGTCTGTTCTCGTCTTGGCACCAGTTCTCAAAGTACTTGAAGATGGGGTAGCACTGAAACTCGGGGTTTTCCTTCAAGTGCCTGTAGATGGAGATGTACCTCCAGTAGCCGATCTTCTCCGACAAGTAGGTGGCGTAGAAGATGAATTTAGGCTTGAAGAATGTATACTTCCTGGCCTTGGTTAGGAATCCGAGATCCAGAGCTAGGCCAAAGTCAGACAGTCCCTTGTTCAAGAAACCAGCATGTCTTGCCTCGTCCCTAGACATAAGGGTGAAAATTTCGGCAACAACAGGGTTGGTTTTCTGCAGGACATAATGAAGAAATGTGAGCTACGGAATACGCCATTGATCTTCAAACCAGAATCTTCTACATTTTCGAAAGGCAACAGAAAATCTGAAGAGATGCTACCTTCAGCCTTCGTCCCAACTCCTTGTACAGAAGGAAACCGGAAAATTCAGCAGTGCATGACCGCTCGAGAAATTCGACGAAAATCTGTCTCATAGGGCCCTGGATCTTGCTGGCGGCTTCCTTAAACTCGGCGTTTCTCACGAAGTGAGTCTGGTTGTAGTCGGTCTTAAACTCCTGCAACAGAGCATCGAACTCGGCCTGGTTAAGGTTCTTGTTGATATCCTGGTTGAACAGCTGCTCCATCTCCTCGAAGTCGGTGGTGTAAAACCTGGGCGTCAGGAGCGACTCGTTAATTTCCTTCTTGGCCATCATCACGACGCCCTTCCCCTGGGTCTTGGAAACCCCGAAGGTCTTCCATAGAGACGCGGGCTGAGCTCCGAAGCTCACGACGCTCCTGCAGCTCGAGCTACTGGCGGCACCGTGCTCCTTGGTCGCCAACCTGGCGTTGGAAACCACCGCAGTGCTCACGGTGCACGCTGCCATGGCCGCCATTGTGCTTCACAACCCCAAATCCCAGCTCTCGTCCCCAGCGATCGGTCTCCTCGATGGATGCACGCGACTAGACCCCGATTGTGGCTACCGAGCTCCCAAATGTAGCATTCAATTGCCTTCGGAGCCCGACGATGCGTCGGCAGCAGAAGTGCCCGCGACTGACGCTGGCACGCGAAGCGGCCGACGTGGCAGTCAGAATCTGCAAGAGCGAGTGCCCGATTGGCGCATTTAGATATTGGCCTCCATGTCGGATAATCGGCTATATCTTCTCCCATTGTGGGCAGCTTGCAGTGTCTCCTTGTGCTCCATGGAGAAGGCTGCTGGATTCGTGGCTGCCTCCAGCACCAGGCACCGCGCATGGACTCTTCTCCACCTCTTCCTCCATTCTGTCGTCGCCCGGGCCTTCCTCACACGCCTCCCTATGAAGCTGGTCCGCTCACTGACAGATTTGCCACTGGCTTCTACACTTTCCTCCTCCAAATGCTTCTTCCCTGCTCGGCTCCAAATTCCCATTGCTGGTTGAATTCTCTTGGGTGGAAGTAGTTAGAGGCGTTCTACTTTCTTCTTCAGCTTATGTTTAGCGGCGGAGAGAGTGATCAGCAATGGAAACAACTGGATTGCCAACCTTCCGCCAGATCCTATGAGGCCATACCACTAAGGAAACTAACCGGCAAAACTGGTTGGCCTTTAATGGTATGGAGAAGAGACATGTCTCTTAATTGTATGATGAGGGAATATCTCTCTTACGAGTCCTATGATATCCTAATTATCCAGATCAAATTTTCAATTTCACCTACTGTTGTCACTACACTCGCCAAACATCCAATAATTTAGGTATTCATGTGGGAATCTTTGAGAACAGTAAAGAAACCTCATGGTGCAGAGAATTTCTGGATCTACTAAGAGTAAATGAAATAATTGCTAGATTAGTCCATTCATCAAAGTATGTTTTCTGTTCTCGTCCAATAGTGGCATGTGACAAATATTAAGTTTAAGCTACGAGTTGTAACAGAGTTATGGTAATGTATCCTCTATGTTAAGAGACTTTTAAGTTATACATCGTATATTATGTCACTTATATAAACACCAAGTAGAGGTTTACATGTTTCTCAAATAAAATGACAAAGGTGAAGAGTGTTTCCAACTGCGATAGTGCTAAAAGTGTTGTCTCTTTTACTGATAGAGAGCATAATAGTGGAATGAAAAATTCCCATTTATAATTATATTTCAATCACACACTCAGAAATCATTGGTTGAGTAAGATCACACAGAACATGATTTTCTTAAAAAACTTCAATATATCCAAGAAATAGATGAAGATAAAATCGGATCAACAAAAATTTACATCCACACAAAACAGTAAGAGAATATATATGAAACGTAAGCTATAGGTTTTTAAGATGAATAGTCTTCTATGTGCATTATATATATCCTCATCCAATATTAAGCATATGTAAAGCGAAATAACTTACTCTGACTTACTAGCAAGTGTAAGACACGCAAGCATTTAATGGACGCACTAGGTTACTCCAGTAAGTTCAACAGGGGTAAAAGAAGTCAGAATGTTTTATTTTGACATTAGATGAAACTAAATTGTCATTAATAAAAGAAAGTTATCATCATGTTAGATGTGTGTACAATTGTGGATAAAATCTAATCACAACTTGACATGGTCATGACAATAAACTTGAAACTTCTATAAAAGGTCATGGCAGATAATTGTTTTCATCTGAAAATTCCAAATTAAATATTAATACTAGATTAAAAATCCATTTGTGTGTTATGAAAGAAGTAAATCATACGATATGCAACAATGTCTAATTGATATCAAACGCACAAGAATATTGTAACACAATCTCTAGATGTGATAAATCAAACATGCTTTGAATAAAGATGTTGATCTTGTGAAACAACAAAAACCTCTTCGTAAAATTATACAAATATATAACTTATGATTTAATTAACATACTATTCAACATCAAATGATCTGATAATCTTAATCTAATTATTTATTTCAAGATCCCAACATATAGATGATATGATATTTGACTTTTGACAAATAATGATCAAATATTCAATGTGAGAAAATGCAAAATGAATAGTCTGATCAATTTTATAAAATCACGTTGACATTGAATATTCAAAACATAAAATCTTCAAATATATTGCATATCTCCATGTCAACCCTTGGTGACAGTTTATTTAACGAGAGTGAAAATGACATGAAGATTATGAATAAAATAGAACATGAAGTTTCACAAATGATGTTGAACAAATTATTTCTGATCAAATTATGATTATTTCATCTTAGTAACTTGTATTCATTATTCTTGGATAATTTGATGCAAAAAATAATTTGAATCTTTATTATATATCAGACACAACATTCTATTATCATTTGTTATGATATAAACACTATATATGTAAGGCATACATTATTATTTTCATTGTATATGTCTAAGTATTCAACACTATCAGTTTTCTGAATCAAAATATAATGATTTACCATATGGAATTGAATAAAGTGTTTTGTAATTTATTCTTAATTTATGTATGATTTTATTCAAGAATTATTGTTTTTTGATCAAAATTTCTCAATTAACAAAAAGATAATATACAAATCACTTCAAAAATTAAATAAAATATATGATATAAAACTCTTTAATGTCAATTTAAGATAACATCACAAAATAAAGATATAATTTACAATGAAATTGAATAAAAAAGTGTTGAGTGATTTTCTTCAATCAAATTTGATGAAAAAAAAAATCACAAATGTTTGTTCAATGAAAATTTAATTTATAAAATTTAATTAAGAATTAAAAAATGAATTGAATATAGGGTGCTGCAAAATTTAATAGTTTACTTTTACAAGTTTTAACATCTTGATTACAAATTTTATTTATAAATACACTTAATTCAAAAAAAAATATAAAATAAAATTAAATGTTTAAAATTAAATATTTAAAATTTTGAAATAAATTCAGTGACAATAATCTATCAAAGGTAAAAGTGTATTTAATTATTAAGATACCAGAAAATGTAAAAAAATAATTTCAATAATTTATATACAAACTATGAAAATAAAATATACAATAAATAAAAATTTTATTTTTTATTTTTATTTTAAAAATATAATATTAATTATATGCATACTATTTGCTTCAAATCTATGACATAAATCCTTCATAGACACATTGATTGTTTAGATATTGCATCTAATTATGACATTAAATAGTACATTGTTGATATGTGGGCGGCTAGTTTTCCCTCATATGGGGTTAATTAACACTCACTCTACCATACAAATGTCACTCATTGATTCATTCGGGTTATAGGATTTGTGAGGTGAAAAAAAAAACTATTGATTGATTCCAGACTGCCCTTAGACATGCCATTATATTAGTTAAGGTAAGTGAGATGACTAAGGTTGCTTCTAAGATCATATGTTTATGGCCGGACCAAAATCGCAGTGGCATTTCAAACTAGTGAGTTTGTCATCTGAGCTTGTAAAACTATCCCATGTAGCTTACTTCTTGCCGGTGATAACTTCATTCGGCTTCGTGCGGCTTTTGATCTAGCTATTGATTCAGTTCACCAAGATGCTGGTTTCATAAAATTGCCCGACTTATATTCAAGGATCAACTATCGTTCGAGTCTAATGCTAGACACATTTCAGAGGTGCACTTCATGTCTAATGAACTCGAGAGTCGATTCGGTTTCCTGGAGCATGGCAATGTAGGGACTGTGAAACTATAAAATGCTAGGCACATATATGCTTCATATTTGGAGAAAAGAAATGTATTGGTGTAGAAAGATTTTTAACGTCGATGAGAAAGATTGGAAATTTGCAAAGTTTTTCACCGCACGGATCCTATAACCCGAACGAACCAATGAGTGACGTCCGTATAGTAGGATGAGGGCTAATGAGCTCCAAGTGAGTAATAACTAGCCGCCCTCCTTGTTATAAGTTTACGTACTTAAATCTTCACCTATTGAATACACAAATTGCTAATATCTCATTCTCAAGCAACACACTCATTAATATATTTAAAATTTTGATTAATAAACGAATGAATATTGCAATTCATTATCAAAAAACATACTAACTTATAGTTTGAAAATTCTATGTAACAATTACACAAAAGACTAACATGTAGTTTTCAAATAAGACACTTACTAATAGTTTCAAAATTTCAAGTAACGAGCATATGCAGTGTTAGGTTTTATTATCAATTATCTCATCAACTTACACAATTCAAGTTTTACCTATCAAATTCAATGATTGATGACATAGTATATATGATAATTTCAAGTAATATGATAACTTACACATTTCAATTTTTATTCATCAAGTATACAGATTGTTGGCGTAAAAATTATAGATAGTTACTTCAACTTTTACCTAATATTTAGTTAACTTTGAATAATTACAAATTTCTTATACATTTATCTGATTTTTTTTATTTTTAAACAATATTTTAAATATGACAATTTTAAAATTTTACAAAATATCTGCATGCTGAATTCTAATATATCAAATAGTTTTTAAAAACTTTCGTTGAAGTACGAAGTTATAAAAGTTGTGAAAAATATTTTTTGAAAAAGAAAAGTACTAAGATCAATTATATATAAAAATTTAGCAAATTAGTAACAATTATAGATTTTTACTAAAATGATCTCAAACTGTAAAAGTTAAAGTTTCATAAATAAAGTAAAAATAATTGTTGGTTATACGATTGAAATATACGAATGAATTTTACAATTTTTACAAAAATATATAAAATATTTTTAGTACAATTTTATAGATGTTTATAGCAAAATATTTTTTTTCAATGAAATCAATAAATTTAATATGCATGAATCTTCATTATTTATTATTACATGTTCAATGCAATAAAATTATGATTGTTATTTTACAATGTGCATAATTAATTTTAATCATAACATGAAAATTGATTAATGTTTAAAATTAACAACATATATTTAGATTAATTTTTTATCTTATTTTGACATTCATTTCATTGAAAATCAGACATAGTACAAGAGATAATATCTGAAGAAATACTGAAATTTTTTTATGTCAATTATTTAACAACAAAAAATTAAGTATAATTTGAATAAAAGTTGGTAATTGATAATTTATATTTTTTATAAAAAAATTTAAAATATAATTGTTGTAAATAAAATTTAAAAAATCCTGCCTTATATCCATGAATCATTCATCGATCTTATTCAGCAATGGACACATATGTCTAAGAAAGCTTTAACATTGAGCAGGCTCGTATTCAAGTGTATCAAAGTTAAGCATGACATAGTCATGAATGTTAACATTGAAGATATTGTATAATAAGAGATTAAGAAGATGTAGAAAGTTGATTTGCGCTACTTTGATAGGAATATCAATTTATAGCATGTAGATAATTTGAATGAATATATTAATTAATATATAGTTGTAAATAAAAAATTAATAATACATTTTTCAATAAAAAAATTATTTTCAAATACAGTATGAGATAACGTGAAAAAAATCAACAGGTAGATCCATCAAGTAACTTAGAAAAGTCAGTGATTTATCTAATTGGTTACAAGAACATATAATTTATATATTATATTTCTAAATGAGTCTTTCGTCTAGTTCCATAATTGTTTATGGTTTATTTACTGAAAGGCTAGATGGGGCTAGTCGCACGAAAATGCGAAAATACGTAGCGTGTAGCGGCACCAAATTAGCGCAGTAGGATTTTCAAGTCTGGAATGTGACGGAGGTTTTGCATTTTGCTCGAGGATCAAGGTTTTGCCAGCACATCGCTCACCTTCATCTTCATCTTCGAGGGTCGTAGGTCCAACAAACATCAGACTGACGACTTGAGACGGAGATCCGGTCGATGGAAGAGGAAGTATGGTAACGGAGCCAAACTCTGCCAATGCGCACGAGCCGATCCATCTCCACGAGCGAGCGAGCAAGCAAGCAAGCAAGCAGCGATGATGATGAGTGTTGGAGAGTAGAGTTTGAAATCTCTCGTTTGTGAGTTGCCGGCGTGCGAGCTGAGGCTTGAAGCGGGACGATGTGAATTTTCTTGTCGAGTACTCCGGAACGCGATGGATGAATCAAAGCGCCGAGCGAAGTCAGGCGCAGCCGAGGGATCGGTTCTTTTTCAAACATTTAAGCATCTCCTCGGTACGCTTCATTGGATCCAAGCCGGGTTTGTTTGTTCTATCTCTTTGGGCCAATCGTCTATTGTTTTTCATCTGGAGAATTCGATGATCTTTCTATAATTGTTTTCCGATTTTCCGATTCTGATCACCGGACTCCTGAAATCAGTGTCTCGCGTCTTGTCTCGACTTATCACATTTGTGCTTCGCCTTTTGGTGGCCCGGAGACTAAGCCCCGATGAGTATGCAGTAAGTGATTCATTTTTTCTCATTTCCGTGTTGGTCATCTGGTCTGTTGATTTCCAGGCTTAACTGATTTCAAAGAGATCTCTCGTGTTATAACTCTCAGTGCGCCGGTCGTATAGACCGTTGCCCCCCCTGTGTGTTCTGAATCCACTGTTGTGTAATTTGGTGCGTGAGCAGCTGTCGACTATCCAGTTTCACTTACTGACCACGACAATTTTGTTCATCAGTCGCGAAGGCTTTCGCCGTGGATGTCTTCGTAGCGATTCCGGGTATATATCTGCTGTTCTTGTGGTTGCTAATGAATGGCCAGAGTCTGTTGGCACAAGATCGTTAGACGTGCACCCTTACAAGATCATTGTACTCAATTCTCAGGAGAACTTTTATTACATATAATTTTATTGTTATTTTAAATGAACTTTTGGTCACCGGGTTTTCTACTCTTATTGGATCTCCTGCGAAATTTCATCCGTATGAATCTGTTTATCATATGTAGCCGGAATTCATGGAATGACATGGTAATTACTCTGCCCTTGCGGCAATATGTCTCAGCCTATTTGCTAAATCATTCCATGCCTGCAGGCAGAATGTTTCTGGATCACAAGCCAATGAGAAGATTGTCAATGTGGCATGGATGACAGTTCCTATAGGAACTTCTCTTGCCGTTTCTGCATGCACTTTTGTTCTTTGGTGGCAAAGGTCATCTATATCTGAAGAGTACGCCTGGTCAGTATGGCTGCATGGTAAATTTCCTTTTTGCCTTGTCGGCTTTCAAGGCAAGTTCTTTTTCAAGATTGATTAAAAGTAAAATTACGTTCTAGCGGGCTTTGGTTTATAGGTTTCAGTATCTGCCTAAATCCTTTCCAAGGTGCTTTTTGGAGACATATCTGTATGTTCGCGTTACCATATGCCCAAAATATTCATCTCTGATGCAGGTTGATAGTACATCTGATGCTGCAAATTTATAAGTGGTTCTGACCTCTGACGATCAGGCTTGGGCGTATTATTTGAAATCTGGAGCGAACCGCTTTATATCCTTTCTCAGCACATGCTTCTATTAAAACTCCGTGTTGTGGTCGAAGCACTGGCCACCTTTTCGTGGTCTATGGTGACGTACGTTCTTCTATTGAACGGAATTGGCAAGGTCAGTTCTTGAGCTGGATTCAGTTTGATTAAGCCTGTTTAATTTGGTGCCCAATTAGTCGCAGAGCAGACACTGATATCATGTCCTGCTGTTAGAAGTCTTATAAGAGTACCGCTTCTTTTGGATATTTATATGACCTACATACGAGACATAGTGCGATGATCTAAGCTCGTCTTATCTAGAAAATGATCGATGTCCTAACACATTTAACCGGCATCTGAGATGCACAATTGTAAAAATACAAGGAAGGAAAAGTAATAGCAGTCCGAAGTAACTGTTAAAGCGATTTTTGTTGAAGGGCGGAGGCCTTGTATTCGCTTACGCCCAGATGGCTTATGGTGCATGCCTTTTACTTGGTTACTGGGGCTACTTTGGATGGAGACATTACCAACCTCCAAATATGGTTTCTCTTTTTCCTGTCAGGTATGAGCTTTCAAAACATAACACTCAGTAATTTGTAAGACATTTCCAGCTCTCATTATTGACATCATTTAATGCCACATTCCTTCTTCGTCAACGTACGCTTCAAAGTCATGATTGTCCCCAACTTGGGATCATTTGAAGTGTAGAAGTCTAAATGTTCCAAATTAGTCGTTGCTGAATAGGTTTTAAGTTCTTTCTTTTGTTTATGAAATCTTCTGCTGATAGGTACTGCATCTTCAATTGAAAGTACCGATAATCTGCTGTTTTGAGACCCAGAAGGATTTTGAGAAGCAATTCTAGACGATCCCTCAACAACAACAATAGCTCCTGATTACTCTCTTGCACTTGCCATGACTAGCTGCCACTCTCCAGAACCCTCAGTCATTCGATGAGAGTTACTAATACTAAGATCCAACTAACATAGATACTCCCCAGTCCAGAAAAGAGACTAACTCGGAAATTCTGCAAGGGCACTACCTTGACCCCCACACCACAGCTATCTAACACCAAAGGTGTGATTAGTATCTCAGGAAGGATCACAGACAAGTAGACTGTTTGACGCTACATTACTAACAGGTCAAAATATAAACAGGTTTCTCAGTCTCAGGTCTGAGCCTGACACATATTTGAAATCCTAATCTGTTGTGGCTAATGAGTCATCAGCCAACAAGGTTACCCTAAACCTGAAGTTAATTTAATTTACCTCTACTGTGAATGAGTTATTGCTATGGTTTTGTATCTGAGAATAGTTCTCAACATGCTGAAAGGATTAAAGACGTAATACGATCACTGTTCATGTGATTTTCAGGAGAAACGGAAGAATATATCTGAATAAAGATATGGTGAACCTATGTTTCATGTTCACGCTACAAGCAGTATACAAGTTGGTTCTGCAAGAAGGACAGAAGTTTATTCTGGTTCTGTTTGACACAGCTTACAACCAGGGTGTATATGGTCTTGTCGACAATTTAGGTCAGTATTCGTAAACGTTGTTCTACTTATCGTTGTTCTTGCTCATTCGACGACACCAGTCTGACATCATATGTGATGCTTTTAAATTCGACTGACTGCTTTTTGATGCCGAGACTCATATTTGAAATGTGTATGTTTCGATCACTCACAAGTAATACAAGCTGCTGTATTTCTCTGAGTACACACAAATTAAGGCTTATTGGATCTCCATGGCTAGGCAGTTTGGTGGTGAGATCAGTTCTACAGCCTTTTGAAGAAAGTGTCTTTACCATGTTTGCCAAAGCTTCAGATGTTTCAGCTGACTCAGGTGCGTGACATCCTCTTTATTATTTAGAATGTGACGTCGAGGTTCTAGTTGTGGTTGTGTATTTGCTTTTGCTTGATTAAGTACTTGTTTTGCTATCACTGAACCGGTCAGTTCCCGACGCCTTGCAATTTAACTTTTAAGCAATCTGCAGTTTGGAACGATGCTAGTCTGTTCCATGCATACCAAGAACTTCGCTGACTTTCTGGGTCTACTCGTAATGCAGATAAGCGCTCAGAGTCGTTAAAAGGAACAGAGAAAATTCTTCTGCTCGCCTTGAAGCTTGTGAGCTTTGTAGGTACTTGAACTCGTTTGAACTTCTTCGATTCAACTTCACCTCTGGCATTTTTTGTTGTCTCTATAGTGATGCGAAGGTCTGGCCCTTATGTAGCTCTGGAATTTCGTGACGATGCCTGCGACAGTCTGACTTGGAGACGACTCTGAATTCGTAGATCTTGTCGCTGGTTGTTGGTAAATGACTTCTTCGACGTCTTTTTCCAGGTCTCCTTTTTGTAGTTTTTGGTCCAAGCTACGCATATGTGTTACTACGTTTACTATATGGTCGACGATGGAGTGACACAGAAGCTTCAAATGCCCTTGGATGCTATTGCCTGTATATTATGACCTTGGCTATCAATGGTATGATCTTCACACGATTTAATCCAGTTGAGAGGTTCCAAATTAAGCGTGTATCAAAATACTCGGTCTGTTCAATGTATGCTAATACGATCATACTGATGCTGTTAATCCGCAATGACGTGAGGTGGTGTTTTTCCTAATTTGCCCATTTTCACAAAGTAACTGACGTGTTATTCGTATACAGCGAAGTCTTTTGTTGCATTGCGTCAATGGAGTTAGTCTCATGCTGATGCGTTGGCAGAGACTGCTCAATGACTTTGCAAAGCTAAATGCTGTAGGTCTAGAATAGGTCTAGCGTTAAACTTTTGCATCTGCTATCTGTACGCCATGCAGTTGATTGTTCAGGACGAAAGGAGTCAGTATCTGTACTCTTTCTTAGTAAATTGCAGAAGAGCTAACTTGGCAATGTTTTGGTTGCAGGGACGACAGAAGCGTTCTTGCATGCTGTAGTGACCAAGAAGCAGCTCTTTTGGTCGAATGCATGGTTGTCACTGTTCTCTTTTATTTACATGATCCTCAGTGTGATCCTGATCAAAATAGCAGGATCTACTGGTCTCATATTTGCTGATGCTCTGAGTATCCTTTTAGAGAAATTTTCATTTCTAGCATAAGTACCACTTCGCCATCTGAGTTTGCTGCAATCAAGTTACGCACAAGTCTTATTTTCATGATATTTAACGAAATATCTTAGACTTCTCTGCTTTCAGTTATTTGTCAAGACCTTAACTTCAGCAAGACATGGGAATGCGAATCGTGTACTCTGTCATCTTTATCAAGTCATTTTTCAAAGTAAGAGAAAAAAGTGGTGATTTGACAGTTCTAACGTTGTGAAACTTTAGTTGATTTGTTCAGTCTAACGTTTTCTATTCGTAACAATTAAGCTCGTTTCACTTGCAGCTGACTTTTCTTAATTTGTCAACTTGCGTTCCAAATATAGCGAACCATCAAGCTAGGACTGATTCAATTCTTCGGCTGTGCGACTTGCCTTTTTACCAGGATTCTTCGACCTTCAGCTTATGGCGAGCACTACCCAATTCACAAATTCTTGTGGTTTTTCTGGGGTCGACAATCGTCACACAAACATCAAGAGTAAAATTATTGGACGCGGAACTTTTTTTGAGCTCAAGCCTCGTGCACGTAGGAGTTGGATGTGGATGTCTTTCACTCCTGGCAATGTCAATGTATCCTTTCGCTACTAGTCATGGTGTCTTGCATTTGTAGTTGATATGGGTTTCTGCTTTCTGTTAATCGTAATTGTCTGCATGAAACAAAATTGAAAATTTGGGCGAAATTTAATCTCAACCAGAACCTATACTCAGCTGGATTTCTACTCGTTCATGTTCATTACACCGTCCCACATAGCTTCTGTAGTAAATTGATGGTAAAACTGACGATACCATTGCGGTTTCACGTGGAACGGCAGTGATGTCGTGGAGATTTGAGTATAGGAGCTGAATAAACTGGATAGGCGTGGTACGACTATGTCCATTACTTAGATTACATGGTCTGTTCGATCGGTCCTTTTCCACCTAAAGCGCAATGATCAATTTGGAAAACGTAGTGGGGAGTAGGAAGAACAATCGGGCGAGTAGGTTACCCAAGTGAGACAGCGGGACTGGACAGAAACTGAAAGGAGTAGATAGTGTCAATACATGGGTTCAGGTCACTATTCTCATCATATGTTCTGTCGAGTTTGGTTGGCTAGCATGCAGATAATTCTCCATCTTGTCTCCTTGATTAGACTTCTCCAGATACAAGTACGAAAAACCGTTTCTCAAGGACCTTCGGAGTCTGAAGGACGGTCAAGGTGAAACCAAAGCAGAGTAATACCTAATGGCAATACGAGGGTGATCGTGTTCCCACTTGTAGGCGTTCGGGTACCGATGTTTTGGTAATGATCGAGGTAATGAAAACTCACTTTTCAACCCATAGTTGGGTGTTGCTCTATTTAGTAAGCCCAAGAAGATGCGCACTTCTGTATAGCCTTTTCTATTATGATTAAAGTCAAGTTTCTTTGATACTTGCTGACTAGAACATAATCATGATATTACGTGACAGGAAAGCTTGTAGCATTGTATTGTATTGAGGTTTTTCTTTAGGAATATACCTACAGATTTCGGGTTGTCCTGTAGAGTAAGAAGTTGAGCATTCTGTGCTTTTAAGCTTAACGTGGGAAGAGGTTTTAAGAGATTAGAAGAAGTTCTTAGAAATGTGCTTACGGCATGGGTACTCCTTGCGGTAATTATTCTGAAAAAATGGACGCACTAAATGAGGTAGACCTTCGCCTCGGTGCAAGCCTACAAGTAGCGGTCGGCCCGGCTCGGCTCGGTTCAGCTCGGCTGGAGCCGTTAGTACATGGAGCCGGCTTAGCTCGGAGCCGATCGCCATGACAGAAGCCGGCTCGACTAAGTCGTAGCCGAGCCGGTCTGAAGCCGGCTCGAGCCGGCTCCGAAGCCACCTCGACTAAGTCGTAGCCGAGCCGGTCTGAAGCCGGCTCCGCCGCAGCCGGGCCGACCCCTACCTACAAGGTCGAATCTGCAGTCTTCCTTCGAAGGTCTCGACCAACGAGAGAGGGCAGTTTCGCATGTAGATTAACAGGAAATGTCTCATGGTTTTTGAATCAAATAACCAGAGATGAATGTGCTGAACACGTGCAACTTCTAATCGTCAAACTTTAGGCATTGTTTATCTTGTTGTAATAACAAGTCCAGTCGTTTAGGTAAAGAGGACCGTACCCTGATGTGGTAAGTATGTGTATGCCTTGCCGATAGCGGTGTGTTGGACAAGGTATTTTTGGCATACTCCCTAGTTTCACAACAAATGCATGGTTGTGAATCAATTGGTCAGCTTTGTTGCGTATTTATAAGTAGGAAGACTTCATGGCGGGAGTTCCATAATCTGATTGTCTCTTCTGCTAAACTTCTTTGCAGAATTGTTTCTCCATGACAGCTGCGGTGGACAAAGTGGGGTATATACCCGGAATCCGATTAATAATCAAGTGCGATGCTTTTGGTCTTGCGAGTATGTCAGGCAGGTGTTTCCAGAGATCTGTAAGCGGAGTGTTTTCCGTAGTGAAGGTTTCAAACTTGTTTTTTGCATCTGGTGCCAAATACACAGAAACTAGTTTCGAAAGACTTAAGTACATGCAGAGTTTAAGTTTACGTGTTTGTGAATTGCCCACGTGGACTTCATTTTCTATGATGATATAAGTGCAGGAATCATGAATGCTAGTATGGGGATGAACAAGTGATATATGTTTTCAAAGTTACAAGTTGTCTTTGTGAAATGTTGTATCAAGTAGATTTTAATACTGAATGATAGATTAAACAAAAACTGTAATTTAATGTAATGAATTATAATAAAGAAAGGTGTTGTAAAGTTGAAGAAGAAAGGAATCATATAAGAGAAATGCACAGTCAATATTGTCAATTAGGTCGAAACTACACAAGAATAAAAGATATAACTGTAGCCTTAAAACATCCTAGAGAGAATATGTTATTGCTCGATAATCTTTACGATTTCAATGACATGTATGATGTGATATAATAGTTTCTTACTATTATTAGAGGGGAGGACATACAACTCTACAGTTATGCTTTCCTATGAAATATATTAATTTATAATTTACATGTTTTGAAACATCTGAAAGTTAAAGGGATAACGCAGTATAAATTTTCTATTAATTCTTATGTGTAGTTAGTCAAAAAAAGCTAAAAAAGTACATAATAAGGGATAAATCTAAAATAATATATGGAAATGATCAGATATGATTATCATGATTAAAACTTGCTGATGTACTCCGAAATAAAATGGAAATTGCTTGGAAAACTTTAATACAGTAGAGAAATACATATTAGGATAACCTAGAACATGTATAATGCTCATTGAAACAGATAAGTTATTGGTGCGGAAAAACAAAAAAACAAAAACTCTAAAACGAAATTTAAAAAAATAAAATCATAATACAGTACGAAGTGAAGTTATTTTCATGACTCATTACCTTGCTTACTCATTGCCACTATTCTTCTTTAGAAAGGATTTAATCGCAAGAAAATACTTGAAATTAAAAAGTAGTTAGCTTTGAAAATCCAACACATTGTTTAAAGTGTTTTTATAACCTTGTTCATGAATTTAATGACAACAATATGAATATACCCATTAGTTATACGAAATAATAAATGAATGAATTGTTTGTATTTAGAACTTATATTGTGAACACGTTTTTGAGGTAAAATTATTTTTAAATGAAAATTCCTGAGTCGATTTTTAAAATTCTTGTTCAAAAAATATGATCAAACCACGGAGATAATGGTGACAGTAGAATAAGCATGTGTGGTAACAGAAAAATTATATTTTGAACAATCCCTTGGTTGATGATGGCATCGAACATGTAGTAACAATTTCTACGTGATTTTTTTTTTCCGTTTTTACGATTAAGCGTTACTATAATCAAACCATAAGATGTATTAAGCAAAGATTCCATTTGGAGATCACAATCTTATATATGAATTCATTTCGATACATAATATTTATCTTGATTATAAAGTTGGACTAATTAGCTTAAAAAATATGGTGAACTTCTTGCATTAAGTTCTTGTGATAAATAGTGAAAAGTGAAAAAAAGTTAGTTGTTTAATATTATTGGAATTCTTTCAAAACAATTAAAATTATTTAAATAAGATGTTGACGATTAGCACGAATGATTAACGTTCGAATGATATCGTCTGCACAGGAGGAGAATGAGTGCGATATAAACGGGAAATAAAACAACAAGAAAAGAAAGGGTGTGTGAAAATATAATGGTCTATAAGAATTGTGCTACTCGGGACTTAGAAGAATGCACAAAATGCGTGAAACGGGGATAATCTTGTGTCACCGGAGACACAAGATTATCCAGCCACAAGGGAGCGAAGGAGGACCAGAAAAAGGCCTCGAGCTCTTCACAGACGACACAAGATTATCCGAAGGGAGGGAGCGAGGGGCCAGGCCAGGCCAGTCATCATCATCATCATGGCGTCGGAAGCGAGGCGGACTCACGACGAAGAGGAGAACGGGTCGAGGCGCGGACAAAGGGAATGATTAGGGCCAGGTCCGCGGATCGCGAATCGCGAGGCGCTGGCGCGTGCCCGCAGGCTTCATTAAAACTCGTGAGCCTTGAGGAATTGGCCGAAAGCAGAGCCATTTCCAAATGTGGTGGAGGACCCGACCGCGTCACTGTGCCCGCGCATGCGCAGGCCCCCTCGCGGCCTCTGCGACCCGTCCCGTTTGTAGTTACGCTTGACGTTAGGCCCGCACTCTTCATGCGCCCCGACCGTCCCCGACCGGACTCGGCCGCTACTTATTGTCCCTCGCTCCCTCGCTCCCCTCCCTTCTCTCCTTCCTTCCTGCGCTCTCTTACACGAGCTTCATAATTTGGATCATCTGGTCGCGCAACACGACAACCTCGTCTCCAACTGCTAACTTACCAGGTTGCCTTTGCCTCGTACCTCGTACCTCGTACGCGTACGAGAGCCCACTTGGATACGGTCCGGTTGCCTTTGTCTTGTCCTCGTACACGTACGAGGGTATTGTACGAGGCCCGTGGGAAAAGTGCGCGGACCTCGCTCTCGGTCGGTCAGTCAGTCGGCTACTCGCACACGGACACCTCGAACAAAGAAACGGCGGACGAGCGCATGGCAGATGCTTCCTCCCGGTCTACCAAAAGTGTACAGTTTGGCGATAAGCTCTCGGAAGACAGTCCATGGACAATCGCGTTCTCCATTCTTGCTCTGCAAAAGTCTGTCTGTACTTCGGGTCAAGCGAGCGAGGGAGGCGGGCTTCGAATAAACCCCCGTCGCGAAAGCTTCGAGAAACGAGGACGAAAGGAGAGCAATGGAAAGGTTTCGATAAGTGCTGCAACGTGCGGAGTGAGTGAGTGCCGAGTTTAACGGTGCAGTTCTCATGAAGGGGAAGTCCTTGTGAAGGAGAGTGTGAGCTTACTGCCTCCTGCTCCTACCCTCGGCCTCTAATGAAGGAAGGAAGGAAGGAAGGAAGGAAGGAAGGACGGACGGACGGAAGGATGGATGGATGGTGAAAACGAGTCGAACGAACGGACGTCGGACCCGAACAGCGGAGCAGCACGTGAACAGGCGCTGTTCACGTACTGTTGGGAGGCGGTCAATACCAGCCAAGGAAGGAAGGAAGGAAGGAAGGAAGGTTACAGATTTGCCTGGAGGAAAAAAACAAACAAACGAGGAACACATTTCCTCCAGCTGCGCTGCCCTGCCCCGACCTGCGGTTAACCTTACGAATGATCGATCGCGATCACGATTGCGACTGCGATCGCGTGGGATTTGTTGGCCTCGGGGCGGAACCGAATCTGAGGCTGAGGCGCAAAGCGGCGACGAGGAGGCGCCCAATGACGTGCTTCCAGTTGGCGGGTGCAGGTTTTGCTCAACTAAACTGTCACTCGCACTGTACCGTGCTCGAGAGCGAACTCGCGCTCGGGGCTGCGCTTGGGCCGGGAAGCGATTCGACGCACGAATCTTGGAGGCGGCAGTTCGGGTGGAACAAAAGCGGAAATGGCAGCTGGGGTTGGGATCTCGCCCACTGACAGACGGGATGCAGGATTCGGGAGGAGGAGGACTCGCGTCGGCTGGAATTGTCGAGACGGACGGGCGCGTCACAGACGTGGCAAGAAAGCGGCTACAGTGGGAGCGGAGGCGGTCGAAGCATGTCACGTCTCTACGAGTTCAGCTTTCCCAAAAATTTGTTGGCATCAGCAGACATACGCAAACACTTCTCTAGGGGGCTGCGGGCGGGGGATCTTGAATGGGGCGATCACATGGGTCGACGATGTCGACCCATGTGATCGGCGCGAGATTTCACACGGCCAAAAGGTAGCGTCCGCCTGGCATCATATGTCCACAAAGCTCTTTCGAAGCGGCACTGGAGATCTCGTTCGTCGTAAGCACTCCCTTTTCGGATCTTTTCCGGAAAGAAACTCGGCTTTTCATCGAGAATCCGACTCCGTCCCTCGTGGACTCCCCGCCCCTGCGAGCTCACTAGCGCCCGTCCGAGTCGTGGGGTGACCGGACGCCGACGCCGACTCACCGATTGCGCTACCGGATGCACAACCCCCCTCCCCCGCCCTGTCATCTGCGCAATCTGAACTCATCAGAATCTGTTTCGCGCGGATCGTTGCCCCTTTTCGCCCTTCCCGATGGAAAGTCTAGCTAGCCTCTTCTTTCTTTGTCCACTATCTATTTATCGTGACCTCCGTCCGTCCGTCCGGCACAGTGGTCTCTCCCCTAGGTCCAGAGCGAGTCAACGTCAACGTCGTCAACACCAACGCCGAAACAGGGTTGCCAGGATGACGTAATCTCTCTCTCTCTCTCTCTCTCTCGGACTCGGTCGCGCCGTAGGTCTGGTGAGTCGCGACTTGCTCCGTCACGTCCGACTCCGAGGCCGCGGCGCACGACGAAGGCAGGCGAAGAGGCGCAAGAAAGATGGGAAGAGCTTGTCCCCGAGGCGTGACTTCCTGGGGTAAAAATCCAGTCGTCGAGGGGAGCGGGCGGAGGTCCTCGACGATGAATCGGTGGGCCGACGGGAGCGTTCGTTCTCGCGCACTGTTGTTCGAGTGTCAGATGCGAGAATGTTTGCAGCTTCTGCTATCATGAGTCGGATTTGTAGCCAGCCAGCCAGCCCTTGCTCCCTGGGCAGGAAGGAAGGAAGGACGGTCGAAGGACATGCAACTGCCGTCCTCGTCCGCGAAGCGAATACTTGGGGATAGGAGACGACATGAACCCGGCCGGATAGTACGCTCTTACGTAAGAAAAGGCGCTGCGCTCTCTGGGATTCATAGATCTTTTCACCTTTACAACTCTCGAAAGCGCCGCGATGAAGTCCGATGTGCTCCTCCTGGTGCCCACTCTCCCCTCCACCTGCTCTGCTCTTCCCATGCTTTCTTCGAGGTCTCGCCATCGGAACGATCTGGCCAGGAAGCACAGGGAGGACGGGAGGGCGGAGAAGGAAGTGAGTCTGAGTTGGTGAGCGATATGTTCTTGGGTCAGTGAACTTTCCTCTTGTTCTAGTAATAATCACTCTGAAGCTTAACTTGTAGAATAATTTCGAGCAGAAAAAGGAAGGATAAAGAAGAGAGTGGAAGATTAGCCTATTCCTAGAAACCCTACGAGAAGCTCGTCTGGAGACGAGGCCTCAAATACATCCCAAATCATTCAAGATATACTCAAAGATAATTCCTGATTGGTGTACATAGATAGATTCACGCAAGGACATGGTATTGTCATTTTGCCCTGACTCCCGATTGGTTTACTTTTCATAGTCAATTCAATTTTTCGCTCCATCCTTCGATTCCCAAATTCGTTTTTTTCTTCGTTTTTCTTGTATTCTTATTATGCATGGCGAGAACTTGAGCAAAATTCATCTTAAAAAAAATAGTTATGAATTTTAAGCGGACCACTTTGCAAAACATCATTAGTAGTTACGAAAGTGCTTCGGAATTTGAAAAACGATTGAAAACATTCTTACATTGGAAAAAATTAACACCTCATTTCAACTTAAAGACAAGAACAAATCAAATGGATTCATAATGGTGGAGACGACGAAGATAAGAGGATTAACACTTCAAAGTTGATTAGAAATATCACCTAGAATAAAGTAATATTTTACGTTTTCTTTTGCTTCTTATGTGATGTACTCAATCATGGAATCTAAATACGGGTTCAAATTTTATATATTTAATAAATAATAAATAGCTTAGAAACCATAGCTTCCGATTACAACATGCCAAACTGATGATCGAATTTTCTAAATTTAATATATAGATATATCTATATACTATAGCTTGGAAACCATAGCTTCTGACTACAGCATGTTGTTGTGAAGACTTGAAAAGATTTAATAAATGAAACCTCGAGCGACAAGCCTCAAAGGGAACTCATTGTCGTGCATATTAATTATACTGACCATCATTGATAATTTTTGAATCGGGTGAAAAGATTTACAGGTTGATCTGAAGAAACCGCTGCTGACTCGCTGCGTTGTTGTTTGTGAACGCTTGACTTGATGGAGGTCGAGAGTTACCGGGAACTCCAACCAAGAAAGACATGATGGATGAATGAATGATAATGATAATGATCCGAGTTTTCAGATCATCAAAATCTTCATCGGCCTTCGACACGACGATGCGCTTTTGGACTCATACAAACGACGAGGACGAGGACGAGAACAGAAAGTCGTAGTACTTCTTCGTACAGGTCAAGCTCGCTTTCTAATGATTATTTGATTCCCGCAGATAAAAAAGTGTGTCACGGATTTCTTATCTCCAAACTTCGGACCTCCACGAAAGGAAACCTTTGAAAGTAATGCGATCTACGTCAAACGCCTCGGTCCTGCTCTCAAGGCAATCAGAAATCTGGCAACATATGAAGTACACGACAGTACGTCCTACAGAGTTCCAGACACGGAGTTCCAGAGAGAGAAAGAGAGTTCCAGAGAAAGGCAGAGATCAAGAGCAAGAGCAAGAGAAAGAGCGACGCTGTCGTCCACAACGCACAGTGCCGAGCAATATAATTTTGTACTCTCCAGATCTGGTCGTCGTCCGGAGCCAAGGGTCGAGCTCGAGGTCGAGGGTCGCAGCAGCAACCGATTTAGGGATCGGATGCACATGCCGCGAGCGAGCGCTCGAGGGTTAGGTGTCACGGACGGCCGGCAACCGTTCGCTGCGGTACGACGAAAGCCGTTTCTGAGGTCTGTACCGGCCGTCGACGGCGACGGGATTAACTGGGGTTAAGAGTACCCTGCCATCTCGACTCTTCGGCTTCTGACATACACGTGATACTCCTCCATCGCATTGCCCTGCCCTGCCTTGCCCCCATGCGGAGCCTGGAGTCCGGACTCTGCAGGGGGGTGGCTACGGTAAGCGGCATCTTTTACCACGCCGTTATTCCGACAGGCAGGGGCAAGGACGAGGGTGACGCCGGCCGGGGAAGGCCGCCGGCGGGAGAAGAGGGCGAAGGGTGGGCAGGGTCCGGTCCGGTCTAGCGCGGAGACTGTGACGGTAGGAGGCTTGGTAACCGATAAAACGTCTGGCCACGTGGAAGGAGGGGAGTGGCGGAGAGGCGGAGTCACGAGGAGTCACGTGCGCTCACGCACACTCCGTTGCGCGCGCGGTTGACTGGTAACCTGGTCCGACACAGATGCGGCGCCGGGGGTCACGCCGGTGTCGTGGTTTAGTTGCCGCAGGCTTGGTTGGGCGATAGTGGGCGAGTAGGGCGAGAAGGGAACCGGTTTGCGTTTGCGGCATGGTGGTGACAGGGAGTTTTATTTAGTCTGTTAGTTAGACGGTGTGGGACCCTACCGAGTAACGAGGAACCTAACCTGTTACGTGGTTGGAAGCGCCTCTCCCCCAGCCCGAAGCCCGAAGCCCGAAGCCCACGCTGTTCGCTTACCCACAGCTGGTTTCAGTTGTTGCCTCCATGAGCGCTCATGAGCACGACTCATGCCCGGCACCAGATGAGTGCTGCTGCTGCTGCTGCAGCGCAAATCGAATTGTTGTTGTTGATGATGTTGTTGTTTGTGGATTATAATCAACAACCTGTATGGTTCAATTCATGCTCCGGGGCGGGATCTCAAGAGAGATCCAGTTGTTAAGATTTGGCTTCGAGAAATGCAGGTGCCATTTCGAGAAGCGCTGCTGCCCTGTAGCGGGATGAGCCCAGTCCTCGTCGTCGTCCTCCACGTCCACGCCCTCGTCCACAGTGGGCTAGAATGGGCTAGAATGGGCTAGAACCGGAGTGCAGGGCTGCAAAAGATAATATAGAAAATTGCAGCCCCGACGTAATCTGCCTCGCCTCGCTTTGTAATAATCAGCCCCAAATGATCATCAGGTACCTGCATGTGACGGACACGGTGGATCGTGCTGCATGACCACGCCCACCACATTCTTTTGCCCACTCTCTGTCAGGACATCGAGTCATCATCTCAATGATCCGCTCTGACTAAGCCCCCTTACACGCACAACTTCCATCTTCGACGAGCGAGAAGGATCGGTGCGGGCGAATCTCTATCTAGCTAGAGGTGCTGTGCATGCACTCGGGATTTATGGTGCAGCAGCATTATTCTCAAGGCTCGTACTGGATGCATCTTACGGTTGCAGCGAGCGAGCGTACAAAGCAAAGCTGAAGAAGGAACTCCAGCTTTCTTTTCTTTCCACCATCGGCGATCGAACGTGAAGACGGTAATCTGAATCTTTATTTTATCACTACCAACTTCTGCGCTTCCTCACCACCTCTCAGGAGGCTTGCGACCCATGCACAGGATGACCTAAACCTCAGCACTTGCAGAAATATGCTTCAGAGCTTTTATATCCACTGACTCGCAACGAGGCCCCAGTCAGGACGAACATGTGTCGAAGGGCAGGACAGGTTATGGCACTGCTGAGCCTTTCTTCCTTCGCAGACAGACAGGCAGGCACAGGGAGGCACAGGCACAGGCAGGCAGGCAGGCAGCAGGCGCACGGAGTCCTCTATCTGGTCTGAGTCTGCTAAATAAATTAAAGGCATCGCGAAAGAAAGTCTCAAGAGGCAAGGCACAACCGGACGCACCACAAATTGCCGAGGGAGAGGAGAAGGACCTCTCCGGCCTTCATGCACCCAACTCGCGTGTTGAATTGAAAATGGAGCTGAGCTTTCTGCTGACACCTCTCTCTTTCTCTGTTGGGTTGGGTTAGCAACCCAATCGAAAAGAGCTTTGCTCCCATGGACTGGACTGCTGTGTGGGTGTCAACTTTTGGATTCCGAGTTGAATGAATCCGGTAACTGGTACTATTCGTGACTCGGGCGAGCATGTGAAAGACTCGTGGTCATATTAAAGGAATGATAGGCTCCCCACCTATGGGGTTCTTCCTCTCTGGAAGGACAAAGCAAGCAAGCAGGCAGGCAGGCAGGCAGGTCGTGTGGTTACTGGTACCTCATAAAGAGAGAACTTGCCTGCGCAGAAGAAGAGGGGCAGGAAAAACATCTACGGTATAACCTGGGTCAGACCTGGGTGATTGAATGAAGCCAGCGTCCCCTCCTATTACAGAGCTACATCTTGTTATAATCTTCCAGATCCAGTGATTCTCCAGCACAACAAGAGTTCGAGCTCTAATCCCAAGGCTTCCTACTTAAGGTCTTGCATTCCTTGCACAGCTTCCCAAGCTTCCCTCCACCCCAAATCCGCTCACCACCCGACCGCCTCTGCCAGCCCTAACTTCTACTTTGAATCACGACTGCAACGCATGAAGTGGATTGCAGCAGTGCTAGCCTCTCGATGTATCTCTTCCCCGATCTCTCTCTCTCTCTCTCTCTCTCTCTCTCTCTCTTCTTCAGCTGAAACAACTGCAGGGCGACTCCACGCCAGGCCAGGCGAAGCTAGGATGCAGCTGCTGGCTACATGCTTACTTCCTTTCTCAGACCGCTCTGCATAAAGGCCAAGCATGAAATAGTACCTGGCTTTGTTCCTCTCCTTTTCTTCATGCTCGGTGTGTTCACTGTGATTCATTCTCATGTTACTTCCATACACGGTACGATTACAGTATCTCTTCATTATGCATTCTGTGCAGCAACACTTTCCACGACTCTCAGAGTCTCTCTTCCTCACTCTTTGGTGCCGAGATTGTGACAAAGTGCAACATGACTACAACCAGGCACCTCCTCCTCCTCCTTAGCTTTCTCTGCACCGAGCCTTCCGAAGCCTGACTGTCTTCTATGCAAAGAGCCTTCCGAAGCCTGACTGTCTTCTATGCAAAGCACGTGCTGAACATACGATCACCTTGTCATGGACTCCTCGGTTTCATTAACGTGAATGGACCAAGGTCCTCATTATCCGGACATGCAGTAGTCCTACAGGTATTATCAACATCAAGGTGCGTATAAAAAAAGTGGGGATTTCCTGGACTTCTTTCTTCGTCCACCCGGAATGCATGTGTATAGCATTTCCCTCTAAAGCATGCGTCTAATGGCGAGAAATGCAGGATTAGAAGATATCTCGTCTAACTTGTGCAAATACATGCATGAGAGACATCATGCTTGGCCAGGTGTCGGTCGGTTCAATCGAGGGAAATGACTATAGCTCCTGTCAAGGCAGCACTATGGTCACACTTTGGTATCTGAAAGTAATCTTATCACATGATGTTATATCAGCTACCAAAGTCTTATTAGCTCATCAACGCTGACATCTTCTTTCCCCAAAGTTAAACACTTTTTTAGGAGACAGGTGATGCTTTACTCTGCCATAAATTCCAGTAAAGTTCAAACCTGAGTTTCTCACTCCTACTTCTCGGTCTAGATGATCAACAAGTAAATAGCAAGGGGGAGATTGCCCGTTCTCGAATACAGAGTACACTGCATTGCACCGAATTGTGTGCTGCGATTGATAGACGGTGTTCCTGCTTCTTCTTCTGAAAACAAGTGTCACGTTTCTTTGGCCCCTGCCTGATCTCTTCATTCGGCGATGTTTGGAGTGCAACCCTCAAACTAGAAAGTCTGAGGGTCGGAGTCCTAAACCCTAAACCCTAAACATGGTAGACCCTCAAACTTTCTAGATCACAGTGGGTTCTGAGCGGATAGGGGCACTATGATTTCTCTCGGCTGTTCAGCAGAGTTTGAGGGCTGAAAAGATGTAAACTGATCTGTGAAAAGATGAGACATAATGCAGAAATTTGAATCATATATCTTTCGAGCCAAAAGCGTTTTCGAAACCTCGCCCATATGGTTCAACGAATATCGCCTGGCGCTGGCCATGTTCATGTTCATGTTGGAAACATCTGGTTACGTTCTAATACCATCAAAGCCTAGCGGCGGGACGTGAGCTAAAGTTTTAATAGACTTAAGTCGGGGGAAGATGAAGATTCCTTGTTCAAAGTACCTCAATACCTCAAACGATGCACTCTTATGGTGATGCCAACGAGATCCAGCTATCTTAAGAGCTATAGATGCTCGTTCTTCTTAGACTTGTAATCTTTGAGTTCATGCAGAGCAACCAAACCTGTGGTGACAATTTTGTAGATGATTGATTTATGTGGTGAAGAAGGAAGGAATCTTCTGGTGGATCATGACCATCATTCTGCTGGATAGAAAAACCCAAAAGTATGAAAAAATGGATTCCTTGTGGGGGTAATCAATTGCAAGAACCACCCAGAGATTACGCGTTTCTGTCCACTTTTCCTCTTTTGAGGATGACTCGCTGGACAAACCAAACCAAACCAAACCGAGTGCACTGGACTTGAACACGGCTACACTGAAGAAAGACAATGACAACTGTTTTAGGAGAGTCCCCTCTCGTGGTTTCTGAGGCACGGGCATGTACACCCAACTCTTTATATGAACCTTTGACGAGGAGAATCATGTTCAACACGAATGGAGATTATCTCCAACACTTCATCAGAGTTCATGGTGAGGGCCTGCCTGCCATGCGGAGATATATCTGACTCGTTCGTATTGCCATGCCATCAACTTTGGCCTCACTTTGTCGTGGATGTATAACAGTTTCTGAGATAACCCTACGAGCCTATGAGTATTAGATTGCGAAAAGGTGTGTTAGATCAACAAAATGTCACACTTGAAGGAAAGTCATTTGCAAGTTGAGTGATCTATCAAGCGGCACCACATGGCGCTGAATTGCAGCAATTGTCCAAGAGTTCAGAAAAGTGCATTGTATTTGGATTCGGAGGGTCTACTTACTTCTGAGGCTGCGTGGAGTTTTGGAGTCAAGTCCTTCATTCATCATGTCATGGATCCGAGAGGTTTGACCACAAACTGTACCTGCTGTGGTTGATAGAACTTCTGCATACCAGACACTTTCGACTTCATAATGAAGGTACGTATTTCAACAGCTCTACGAAGCCTCGCTATCCAGTAGCACTAGCACTAGCACGAGCTCTAGCGTAGGTCTCAACTAGGAACACTGCGAACTGTGCTTCCTTCGTTTGCCTTTTGGCCCCTGCCATTTCGAGGCCAACTTGACGGGAAGGGTCGGAGTGCTCTGCTCAGGAAAATCTCCTG